ATTACTATTTATCGTCGTGATGTGATGGTAGTATAAATAGTATACTAATTTATATAATTCTTTAAAAATAAATAAATTGTTTATTTAATTTTTTAAATAAATAATTTTTTTATTTTTAATTTTTTAAAACATTTAACCAAACAAACATTTTTTTTTGATAAAAAAATTACGTAATAAATATATAAAATATAGAGCGAGTGGAAGGGGAAAAAAAAAGTTGAATTTCATTCTAGATAGCAATTGTTTGGAGTTGGTGTGTATGTGGTTTGAACCTGTGCAGAGGTGTGGCAAAACCAATGCACTACCATTTGAGCTGCAGAGAACTCAAGATTAATTTTGATTACATTTTAATATATTTTAAACGTTTTCTGAAGGGGAGAGTGAAAGCGCTTTTTGTAATAGCGTTTTTTTCATCTGCACAGTGAAAACACTTTTTGTAATAGCGTTTTCTTAATTAAAAGCGCTTTTTGTAATAGCGCTTTCACTATTCATCAAATTTTCTGCTTCAAACAATGAAAACGCGATTTGTAATAGCGTTTTAGCCTAGTTTAAAAAACTCGTCCAAACTAGGCCTAATTTGAAAATTAAGATAGAAATTTGACTTAATATGGAAAAGCCCCTACTACAACCCCTTTTCCACTACCACCACAACATCCACCATTGTCATCATTGAATAAGTACTACCATCAGTTCACTACTATTATAGAGGAGCTAATTTCAGTCTACTAAATTAATTAGGCCCAATAGCCCAAGATTAGTGGGCCAGAATTTATCGCAAGTCCAAGATTGGTGGGTCTGGATTTATCGCCATCAAACGGGCTGAATCACTCTAAGCCTCGAAAGAGTTCGGATCCATGAACTTAGAGACTTACTCAAGTTCGGACTCGAAAGGGTTTGGATCCACGAACTTAGAGATCCGAAGCACCTGGCTTCGAACGGATTCAAACGCAATCTAGAAGTCGCTCCGTTAATGAGTCCCAAAACACTTGCGGGCTCGGAGCTTTCCGGGATCAACGCACCAGAACCATGGGCGTAATGGAGTTCGAACAAAGGACCCGATCCCGAGGACGGTGAGTGGAGATAAATTCACTCTTCAGTTAAACTAGCCTATACCCGGGTCGAGGTGGCACGACTCCGGGGGGTCCATGAGACTCGGCAATATTTAGCGGCAGGACGTCCTCTGGGACTACCCCTGACCCTTTGGGATGATTGGGGATCATTGGTTAGGTGTGGCTAAGAAGAAGGGTTCGCCGAGAGGTTGATCTCTTCTTCGGGGTTTTCCTCATCCTCGGAGAGGTCACCTCCTCGGACAAGGTGGTTAGAGAGAATATTCCCCATGTGCCTTGCACATGGGCTCCATCCTACGTCATGAGGTGCCTATAAATAGCACCCACCCATAGCTTTACACGGGATGAATTTTTGGAGAGATGACTCTTGGGAAAGAACTAATTTCCCATCTCCATTATCAACCTTGAGAGTGAAAGTGGGAGATCCATGGGAGAGCCTTGCCATTATTCTCTCTCTAGCTATTTTGCCTTCTTCTTCACCCAATCTCTTATCTCCATCATCTCCTTTACTCTTGTGTTCTTAAGTTGAAACCATTGAAGAATCTAAGTCTCTCACATTTCTTCTAGAGAATTCGAAGTTGTTCTTCAAGGATCTTCGAAGATTTTCGAATTTTCCAACTCCTTTCTTGAACCCTCTCCTACATTTTGGCAACTTCACTGGGAAGGTGGATTGGTTAATGGTCTCAACGAGATCTGGAATCCACACAACTCCAACAAGGATGGCGGGAGAAGATGAAGTTCGATGAAGTTCACCAACAAGGATCCTCTAATGGTGGTGATGACAGAACCATGGCTCCAGATCAACCACTTTTGCTTGAGGCCATTCAAGGATTTCAAAATACTCAGCAGGAGATTCTTAACACTCTTCAAAATCTCACTCACACCATGTTGGTGATGAGTTCTAATTTTGCATCGGCGCCAAACGGAAATCAAACGGGTGGTGGAGTTATTCCCGCCGGAGCGCAAAATCAAATCCAAGGAGAAGTAGGCTCCAATCAGCCTATGGCTCATGGCAACACGGCCACGGTAACACATGCTCAAACCACAGTAGGCAGCAGCAGTTTGCCCATGCCCGGTCTCCACAGCATGCCAAGCCAAGATCCAGTGGTGACTAGGGGAGGTTCTGGTGTAATGAATGGCGCTCCAGCAACTGTTGGTGTCCAGGAAAACATAAGGGGCATGATGGCGCAAAAGGGAGCTCTGCCCGTACCTAATCTTGTTACGCCACCAGTAAATGTTACTCAAGTTCCAGGCGAGCCTCCTTTGGTGCCAACAACAAATTTGCAAGCACAACCCGAAATAGCGGCGCCGTACGGTGGACTCTACGGGCCTCAATTCAATATCCCATCACCAACTGGCTTGTCTATAGGCGCTGATGGCCAGTATCGTCAAATGTCTTCACCAATGATGAATTCGCAGCACCAAAATGGCCAAGTCGCCCCTAGCTCAGTCTTCGGGTCCATAAGCCAAGTTCCGGGAATACCACCATTAAATTCTCTGCCTCAACAGTTTCTCACTATCGCCGATGTGCAGGCTATGTTCGATCTCGAGCGGGGCAAGAGGACCTTACCCTCTTTGCCTGATCCAGACGTCAAGCCGCCTTACCCCATTGAGATGCTGAGCTATCCATACCCTGAGAGGTATACAGTGCCGAAATTCATCAAGTTCAATGGCAAACAAGGAAATGCTCGAGAACATGTTGTGCGATTCATCGAGACTCTGGGTATTCATGGTTCAAACCACGTCCTCCGGCTGAAAGAATTCTCTAAGTCCCTCACTGAACGAGCATATAGTTGGTATGTTAATTTGGCCCCAAACTCTGTCCGAAGTTGGGAGGAAATGGTTAACAAATTCCACTCTAAGTTCTTTCAAGTGGCGGAGAAGGTGACCACACTTACATTGTGTAAAGAAAAGCAGCAGGAAAGTGAAGACATCCTTGACTACGTCAAAAGGTTTCAGGACAAGGCCGTGGATTGCCATGAAGCAGTGAAGGAGAGTTATCTAGTTCAAATCTGTCTAGAAAGGGCATTGAGCAGGTACAAAATGTTTCTAGTTAATCACAAGCTACCCACCTTCTCGGCATTAATAGAAGCAGCTCGGAACATTAGCATTCCTCAGGCTCAGGAGTCCGGATTTGAGGCCAGTTACAAGACTAGCTTCAGATCGTCTCGTGGACCTATGGTTGTTGCTGCCTCTACCCCAGATACCCGAAAGTCACAAGGAGGAGGTCTTAGAGGCTAGAAGAGAAAGCAATATAATGGTGAAAAGGGGAATGTTTCTTATCCATGTGGAATCGAGGAAGTGAAAGCTCTAGTTAAGGAATGGGTGGCCGACGGAGAGCTAAAATTGCCTTATGTCGAAGAAATGCCATCAAAAAATGACCGCGAGAGCCCTCAATTTTGTGTCTACCATCGTACATTGAAACATCCGACAGAGAAGTGTTGGACTCTCAGGAAAATCTTCAGAGATAAAGTCGAGGCAGACGAATTGAGGTTCAAAAAGCAAGGGACTCAAGATATCCGAGAACAACCATATCCTCAGCCCCGAGACAAGGGCAAGAATGTTGCTATGATAGCTTATGAAGGCCCGATGATTGAGGCTATCGCCAATCTCGATGACGATGATTATTATCTGGACGACATCCTCGAGCCAGAGGGTAAGCAAATTTACTACGGAAGTGCTCTCGATCCAGAGGGCAGAACCTTCACAACTCATGTCGACGATCCCTTTGATCCAGAAGGAGGAGAAGAGTACTACGGAAGAGGAGGATCCAAGAGTGGAAAAAGATCCGGATCACTATGCCAAAACCTTGCAAGACTGTGTAAAGTCCAAGCTTAAAGTTCAAGCAATTCTTTGACCAGCTTGGACTTTCCAGGGAGGCAAGAACAGAAATCACCAAGTCTATCATTGATATAGCCGAGGCACACCATGAGGAATGCATGTCAACTGAGGGATCTATCCCGAGGAAGGCAAAAGAGCAATCTAGTGCCATTACTTTCTCCGAGGCTGATCGGAAGTATCCTTTTTCTCACAATCGCCCGCTTTATGTGACTACTTTTATTAACAGGGTTGAGTTCAAAAGGGCCTTTCTAGATAGTGGAGCCTCTATCAATATTATGACTCGCGCTACTCTAGAAAAGGCCGGAATCTCTAAAGAACGCATTATGAAGCACCCGATAGTCATCACTGGCTTCGGTGGAGAAATGAGAGTTACTATCGGATGCGTAATAGTTGATTTAGCCATCGAAGAAATTCGCTCGGCCACCAAGTTCCATATTATCGATTCCGAGGCAAACTACCACATCATCCTAGGGAGGACCTGGATGCATAGATATGGGGCTGTACCATCAAGTTATCATCAGTGTGTTAAGGCTAAATGGGAAAAGAAGACGGTGACAATTCAAGCCACAGAAAGGCCTTTCGAGGTCCATGAAGCTCATTATTCTGATGCCATCTACATCACCGAATTGGCTGTCGAAGAAGTTCCCACCACCTCTAAGCCTCGGGGGGGTCAAAATTCCTTGTTGGAAGGATATCAAAGATGACAAGGAGCCAAGGGCAGAATCAAGTAAACGGGCGATCTCTAGACCAGAAAGTCCGCCTATTCCTCGGAAGGTGATGAAAGTCCGAGAAGGGGGCAAGATGGTGTACTATTTATGAAGGTGTGCGGAGTTGGTTTCTTCAGTCACCAACTCTGAGTCAAAAGAAGAGCCTCCTGACAATGACATAGTGATAAAGCCTGAAGTGGCTCCAGAATGCAGGCAAGATGGGACGAAGCCTTAGCCCGAACAACTTATTGAAATAGATCTGAGTGATGGACAAGATGCACCGAGGCCGATATTCATAAGTTCGAGCCTTAGCCCAGAGAGGCGGGAACAGTTGTTAAAGTTGATAAGCCGGTATTCAGATGTGTTCGCTTGGTCATATAAGGAAATGCCCGGACTAGATCCTGACCTAGTCTCCCATTATCTTGATGTGTTCCTAAACTCCAAGCCAATTAAGCAAGCTGCTCGAAAATATCATCTAGATCTCGAACAGAAGATTAAGGAGGAGATTGAAAAACTTCAACAGGCTGGTTTCATCCGGCCAATACAGTACCCCACGTGGTTAGCAAACATCGTGCCAGTAAAGAAGAAGAATGGCCAAATCAGAGTATATGTAGACTTACGAGATTTGAACAAATCTTGCCCGAAGGATGAATTCCCTCTTCCTCACATCGACACCCTCGTGGATGCTACCTCGGGACACCAGATGTTCTCATTCATGGATGGATTCAGTGGATACAATCAGATTAAGATGGCTGAAGAGGACGCAGAAAAGACTGCTTTTAGAACACCTCTCGGAAACTTCTTCTATACAGTCATGCCTTTCGGACTCAAGAATGTCGGTGCAACTTGCCAAAGGGCTATGACTGCAATCTTTCATGACATGATCCATCATGAGGTGGAAGATTATGTTGATGATCTAGTGGTGAAATCCAAGAAAGAAGAAGACCATCTCCGAAACCTTGAGAAGGTATTCAAGAGGTGCCAGAAATTCAAAATGAGGATGAATCCTCCCAAATGTGCTTTCGGGGTGACGCCCGGGAAGTTCCTCGAGGTTTCTTGTACATAGGCATGGTATCGAGGCAGATGAAGACAATGTCAAATCTATTAGAGTAATGCCTCCCCCGCATTCTCAGAAGAAGTTAAAGAAGTTCCTCGGGAAGGTGTCTTATATTCGGAGGTTTATCCCAGCACTGGCAGAGATCTCTGTGCCTTTTGGCTCTTTGTTAAAAGGAGATGCCAAGTTCGAGTAGAACCAAGAGCACCAAAAGGCCTTTGAGAGAATCAAGGCGGCCTTGACCTCGCCTTAGACCATGATAGCCCCGTAGCCCGGGGTGCCTCTAATGTTGTACTTAACTTTAACCCCCCAAGTCCATAGGGGCATTATTGGTCCAAGATGTAGATGGAGCAAAACGCCCAGTGTATTACATCACCCGGAAGATTCGAGGAGCAGAAGTCCGATATACTTCGATAGAGAGACATTGCTTAGCTCTGGTATTCACCGCCCAAAAGCTCAGACATTACTTCTTAGCACATCAGATTCAGATTGTTACTAAAAGTGATCCAATTCGATACCTCCTCAGCAAGCCTGCTCTAACCGGGAAGGTGGCAAGATGGTTGTTAGCACTGGGTGAATTCGAGATCACATGTGTAGCCCCCAAGGCGATCAAAAGCCAAGCCTTAGCTGACCTCCTTGCTCAATTTCCAAGTGGTGACTATGAACCAGTGAATGAAGAAGTAAGAGGAGAGGTGCATGCAACTATGGCTTCCGAGGAAAGCTTTTGGACATTGAGCTTTGACAGAGCAGCAGCGGGAGGTAAAGGAGGAACCGGGATAGTCCTTACAAGCAAAAGTGGGGAAAAGTTATATTTGTCTTATAAACTGGATTTCCATTGTTCGAATAATGAAACCGAGTATGAGGCTCTTATGTTAGGCTTGATAACAGCTGAGAAGCACAGTATCAAGAAGATTCGGATTCGGGGGGACTCAAAGTTGATAGTGATGCAAATTTCAGGACAGTTCATCTTAAAGGAGCCTGCCTTGGCCACATATCGAACAACAGTCCAAAGGCTTCTTGAAAAATTTCAGAAGGTCGAAATAGAGCATGTGCCTCGTTCCGACAACAAGTTTTCAGATGCCCTCGCTACATTAGGGGCAAGAGTTGATATCCCAGAGGAGGAGGACTGGAGAGGAGAAGTCCTCGAACAACTCAGAAGCAAAGTTGGAAAATTGACTATGGCCAAGCTTGCCCAATTCATAATTATTCAAGGTGAACTTTACTTCCGAGGAGGTACCGGATTCCTAGCCCGGTGTGTTGGCCAACAAGAAGCAAGTTTCCGACTACAACAGATCCATGAAAAGTCTTGCGGGGCTAGGGATATCAGTCTGTACAGAAAGATCCAAAGACATGGCTATGATGGTGCATGTTGGCCACAACCCGAGCAGCTGGTGAAAGCTTTCCAAATGATCTTGCAACTCTAGGGGCAAATTTCAACATTTCGTAGAAGAAGTCTATCTATGACATTTACAATTTATATTTGCTGCATTATCCAAGGAGTTCTATCTTTCTTATGTCATGAAGAAATTTATTTCCTCCATATTATGTATCTCCATTAGAAGTTATTTTCTCTACATTGTATATCTTCATTATGTTATGTTGCTTGAAATAGTTTTCAATTTTTTGTTGCCCCTCAAAGAAGAAAGAGGAATAGTAGACTCAGTTACCAACCTGAAGGGAGTTTTCTTGACACAGTAGAAGTGTACTTCCACTCGGACTTCCGAAGAGCAGCCATTGCTTCCTTCAATGCAAGCTTCAAGGGTCTTTCTTGCTAAAGTAGAGTGTTGCACCCACTCGGACCTCCGAAGAACAGCCCTTACTTCCATAAATGCAAGCTTCAAGGGTCTTTCTTGTTGAAGCAGAGTGTGTGATCCCACTCGGACTTCCAAAGAATGGCCCTTGCTTCTATCAATGCGAGCTTCGAAGATCTTTCTTGCTGAAGTAGAGTGTGTGCTCCCACTCAGACTTTCGAAGAACAGATCTTGCTTCCGTTAGTGCAAGCTTCGAGGGATAGCATTTGCTTCCATTGATTGTCGAAGAAATGAGTGTACATCCGCTTGGATTTCCAAGGAACAGCTTTGTCTCCGCTCGGATTTCTAGGGAACAATCTTTACTTCCGTTAGTACAAGCTTAATAGATTCGGTTGCCAGCCAGGAGTGATCTTTCTTGTAGTTACCAGCCAGAAGGGATTTTGTTTGCCAAAGAAAATAGTGTGCTTCCACCCGGACTTCCGAGGGACAGCCCTTGCTTCCATTTGGACTCTAAGGAACAAACCTCATTTCATCAATACGAGCTACGAGGATCTTTCTTTTCAAAGTAGAGTGGACTCTTACTCGAACTCCCGAGGGATAGCCTTGGCTTCCATTAGCTGCCGAAGTAGAAGTGCATATCCACTCGGACTTCCGAGGGACAGCCTTGTTTCTGCTCGGACTTCTGAGGGAGAGCCTTGTTTCCGTTCGAACTTTTAAGGGACAGCCTTGCTTCTGCTCGGACTTCTGAGAGACAATCTTTACTTCTATTGGTGCAAGCTTGGTAGACTCAGTTGCCGTCCAGAGGGATCTTTCTTTCCAAAGTAAGGTGTATGCTACTTTCAGACTCCTAAGGGACAGTTTTGCTCTCGTTCAGACTTTCAAAGGATAGCCCTTGCTCTCATTAGTGAAGATTCTGAAGGCCTCGGGGTCATGGATTTCGCACAAAAATTTATTTGCCTGAAATAGTAAAGCCAACAAATGAGATGAGCAATATCAATTTCATATCCTGATTCAGACATTATCGGAATGGGGCAACATCAACAAATAATAATGATCTATTTAAGCTACAACAATTTCATTACTCTGAGCAAGTTCTTGAAAATGCAACAATCAAGGTTTTGTCTCTCCAGGCCGGTTCCTCTCACGCACAATTTTTGCATCAGCTATGTATTTCCCAAGCATCCACAAGATCAACAAAACGACAATCAATCATTCAACAACAAGACCTATATACAAGAAGATATATATACAATATGAGAGACTTATTTTCTCGGATTTCTTTTACAACAACATATATTTACTCTACAAATTTCAAGACGAGCAAGCCTAAGAAATTTTTCAGTAGCGACACCAACAAAACTCGAAGGATTCAAATTATCTCTCTCTACACCAATTAATCTTGGAAACATTAATACCCCATCTATACCAGATTTATCAACACAAGGTCCAGCTCCAAAACATGAATTTCAAGACTACCTTTTATCATAAGTTCAAGATCCAATCGGAGGGGTTCAACAAATAGCAATATCAATGTGGATATCATCAACAACAACGGCACATTTGTTCCTTTCTCTTCAACAGAGCAAAGTGTCATTTTGTCTACATTCAAACCAAGCTTCTCAGTAAAGTTTCAAATTTCGGAATTACAATATTCAAACATTCAATATTGTGATTTTAGCAACATCATATTTTGAGTCAACCAAAAGTGCTTCAAGCCTTGTTTCTATTTTAGAACAAGTTCAACAATAGGAGTTTAGAATCCAGATATGGGATTGAAATATAAAATTAAAATTATACAAATCCTGTATTATCTACCTCAAGCTGAAATTGCAAATTCTCAGTGTATAAATCAAGTTCTGCAAGCACAAGGGTTTACCTAGATTTGAAGTCAGAAAAATCAAGAGAAGAAGATTTTGAGCTTATATTTACAAACCTGAGGCAGAGGAATTTCAGAAGCTTACCCACATATCCAAAAATATAAGAAGAATGAAAAGAGGGTTTCAGCGAACACTTGTCAATCTGAAATAGTAACACAAATAAAGATGGGTCAATGGAAAGCTAGAATCGGCATTAACTATTTCAGAAGTGAAGACAAATCCCATATATATTTTTGCAAGCCCAAGTTCATGAACAACAAATATATATATATATAATACATTCAAGAATGCGTTTCGGCAATCTGAAATAGCAACACAAAGAGGATGGGCCGATGACCGATGCCGCGTTGAGAGGGCGGCATGGTTGGCATTGGCTAGATCACAATTGAAGACAGTAGGTCGGCGGTGGCACGAGCAGCGGGCGAGAAGGATGCTAGGCAAGACCACACACGGTGTTGAGTGGGCAAACGTGTGTGGTCAATGTCGGACAAATTGAAGCCGGAAGCAACGGTGGTACCACAAAAGAGTCGGCAACCACACACGTCACGTTGAGTGGGCAACGTGTGTGGTCTGCGTTGGAATAGTTGAAGCCAGCTGCAGAGTTTCAGCAGAGAGAGGCCGATGGCGGTTTGGTCGGAGCTGGAGCAGCGAGAGGCTGACGGAAGTTGGGGCCACGGCAATGTAGTCGCGTGCAAGCAGAACAAAAATCTGGGTAATCCGAGCTCTAAACAAAAAATATATATGATAATCAATATATATATATATGTATTTGAAATGCCAACCAAAAGCAGAGATGAGAAAGAAAACCAGTGGCCACGGGAATCAATTGCTAGTTGTGCCGGTGTTGATGCGCAATAACGACAGCTCGGGTCGCGTTGCCGGCGGTGCCTAGAGCTACGGTGCAAACCACACACGACGCGTTGAGTGGGCGACGTGTGTGGGTGGCGCTGGACAACCAAAACAGGAGGCAAAGTCACAGCAGAGAGAAGCCGACAGTGGTTGAGCTCGACAGTCGAAGGGCAGAAGCGGCTGTAACATCGCTGAGGAGTTGGCGTCGGTGCTAGTTAGTTGAGGAAGGTTTGTGGCCGCCGACGGTGTGCAAGAAGGCGTGGGTCTTCGGTGACGACGACGGCACTCGGAGTGGCAGCAAGCTAGGTTGGTCTTGTGAGCAACCAGCGGTAGCTTTTGATGTAGCAGCTTCGGAGCTTCGTTGGAAAAGAAGGTTTGTTTTGTTGAAGAAGAAAGGAGCTGGGTTGGTGCCTGTAGAAGAAGAGAGACCTGGAACGGCTATGAGCAAAGAAAATGGGTGAGATTTAGGGTTTTACACCTGTCCTTAAATAGAAAAAAGAGGAGGCGTGATGCTAGAATATTCTCAGAATGTACTATTTATATATATACATATATCCATATATGGATGGATTCGTTGGGTTGCCTAACCAGAAAAGGAAAGGTGTGGTTTGGGGTAGCCTCTCAAAATTTTTTTTCTCTCTTTCTATAACGGTTTGCTAAGATTTGTTTGGCTGCCATAAAATGGGTTCACGTTGCTAGAGAGAGAACATGTTTTGGGTGTGTGAAAAAAAATAGCACCTGGAGTGAATTTACAAAAAGTTGAAGGGTTATTAAATCTTCTAGAAAGAAAAAAAAAAAGAAGCTTGCTTCGTTTATGGCCTCTCAAACTAATATACTCTCTCTCTATATATATATATTTATATATATAATGTGACATCGAATATGCTTCCTGGAGAATCTACAAATTTGAATTTGTGTACATTGAGTGAAGGTAAGGTCAATAACCTTCGAGTACTGCTATCGAGTAAAGTTCAAACCATGATCACGAGTAAATCTTAGATATCTAAGAACCCGAATGATCGTTTTCCAATAGCCTTCTCCGGGGTTACTAGTGTACCTACTCAATTTATTGACTGCATAAGCTATGTCAGGACGAGTACAATTCATTAGGTACATTAGGCTTCCTATGATTTGGGATTATTTTAACTGAGACACCGCAGCACCTTTATTTTGCGATAAATAAAGACTGATGTCTACAGGTGTTCTAGCTACATTCATATCATCCTTGATAAATTTACCAAGAATTTTTTCAATATAATGTGATTGAGATAATGCATATCTGTCAGATGTTTTAGTAATTTTCATTCATAATATTACATCTGCGACCCCCATATCTTTCATATCAAATCTTTTGTTAAGCATTTGCTTAGTTGATTTGGTCATGTTTTGACTGCTTCCAATGATAAGCATGTCATCCACATAAAGACAAACTATGACATATCCTTGGTCAGTGTTTTTAACATAGACGCACTTGTCACATTCGTTTATCTTAAACCCATTAGTAAGCATAGCATGATCAAATTTTTCATGCCATTGCTTAGGTGCTTGTTTTAATCCATAAAGAGATTCTACAAGCTGACAAACTTTCTTTTCTTGCCCTAGCACTACAAACCCTTCAGGTTGCTCCATATAGATCTCTTCATTTAGATCACCTTTTAAGAAAGCCATGTTAACATCCATTTGATGTATCTCTAAATTATACAATGCTGCTATGGCAATAAGCATGCAGATGGATGTTATTCTTGTCACAGGAGAATATGTATCAAAATAGTCCAGACCTTTTTTTTGTCTGTAACCTTTTACTACAAGTCTTGCTTTATACTTGTCTATTGAACCATCTGCTTTCATTTTTCTTTTGAATATCCACTTACATCCAAGAGGTTTAGAACCAGGTGGAAGATCCACCAATTCCCAAGTATGATTTTGCATAATGGATTCAATTTCATT